TCATCTATAATCTCTTGTAATAACTTTTTTTTACTATAATGAATTGGAGAGCTGCTCTCTCACTCATAGTAGATCTTTTAATTGAACTGGGTAAACAAACATTTCGCCTTTCTCGCCTTATTTTGTTATATTTTCTGGTTATTGATTATTATTGTTGAAGACCGTTTATTTTAGTTGCTACTATTTTTTGCCTCACATATCAAAGTGTTGATTAAAATTGAACCAGTTATTATCACAACGTCTATCAACCTGCAATTTTTGTCTCGTCAAAAGATTAAAATGATCATCTCCAAAAACCCTAATACTACACGCACATTTCCCATCTTTACGCAGAAATTTCTCAAAGACACTTGCCTTCCTCATTTTTTGCTAAAACATTTTCCTTGCTATTAGAAACTAGTTGTCCTTCAATCATAGTTTTTTCAAGTAAGTCAGAGCACCAAATGGAAAATAGATACATACCACAATCATCTAGGTTTTCCGTATGAGCCAAATCCACATTATCATCTTCTTCATCTAGAACATCTAAAGAGTCTCCACCACCATAGGTTTCTACGTTAACTTCAAAAAACTCAACATCTTCATGATCTTTAATGTTCACTATGAAGACAAAACCTACTTATTGTACATTATCTTCACAAGGTCTCTTAAAGCCATATATTCATCTAGAAATTATTCTTCTTCCATTACCCATATAGAGTAAGTAAAGGACCTACCACTTAAGAGAATATCTTTGTTTATGATTGTTCCAAGTGATTTCCTTACTTTTAATCTACACATTTCAAAGTGATATCTAGAAATAGACTTGGCATTCATAGATAGAACCTTACCATAAAGATTTCCTAACTTAATAAAAACGCTTCCAGACCAAACATGTGCAGGAATACCTCTAAACCTCAACAAAATATCCTTTTTAAAAGAGGAGAATGTAGTTGATCAATGGTTAATGGAGATAAAGAAATGTTGACATAAAGTGACCAAATGTCTTTTTTAAAAGAGGAGAATGATGTTGATAAATGGTTAATGGAAGTAAATAACTGTTGCCAAAAAGTGACCAAATGTCCTTTTTAAAAGCGGAGAGTAAAGTTGATCAATGGTTAATGGAGGTAAAGAATTGTTGCCATAAAGTGACCAAATGTCCTTTTTAAAAGAGGAGAATGAAGTTGATCAATGGTTAGTGGAGGTAAATAATTGTTCGCAAGTGACCAAATGTCCTTTTTAAAAGAGGAGAATGAAGTTCATCAATGGTTAAGGAGGTAAATAATTGTTGTCCTAAAGTGATCAAATGTCCTTTTTAAAAGAGGAGAATAAAGTTGATCTAGCGGTGGACAAGAAAACATGGTCTGACCGAACCCGACCCAGTCTAAGTATTTTTTAAGGTATTGGGTCGGTTCGACTTGTCGGGTGGCTTAGAAGGGTCGGGGCGGTTTACTTTGGTCAGAATCAACTTGCATTCTTGAGCCCTTCGGTATCCGAATTCAATCGAATCCAGTAACAATCTTATGGGCCTTCTATCTCAGTCTAGTTTAAGTCCAAGTATATCCAGGACATTAAACCAAATGCAAACAACTTATGTCTTCTTCTCCTGTTAACCCTAAACTTAAGCCTTCATTTTCAAATTTTCATCGCGTTCAAATCTCAACTACATCATTCACATTGTTCCTAATCTAAGCTTTCAGATATCATTATTCTTAAACTAAGCTATCAAATATCTCTATCTTTGTGTTTGTGTGTCTGTTTTCGTGTTGTTAATCTCCATCTTTCATTGTTTCTTCATGTATCATCTTCACCTCCTCTTTATCTCCATCTCATATGCAATTTCTACGATTAACTCAGTAGTCAAAGGTTGGTGTTTTTTTTGTGATTTCAACTCTTTTTGCGATTTAGGGTTATGTGTGTTTGAAGTTAAGATTCATGTATGTGGTTTCATTACTTTCCCGATGATGGAAAATCCTATTGTTTTCATTAATCTAGTTAGTTTATTGTTATGTTTGTTAATCTCATGGATATATTTTGTTAAGGTTTGATTTGTGTCACTAACACGTGCTTCTAACTTTTATGAATATAAGTTATGTTTACTTAATTGTGTTTTAAGTTTTTTCCAAACTTTAGTTTATTTGTTATATGGAAGTGCTTTGGCACAAGCAAAAGCAAGATCTGTGAAAATGCAACGAGTTAAATCTGAATTGAAACTAAGAGCATGCAAAAAAGTAAGGGAACAAGTTAGACTTAGGAATGAGCAAGATTAATTATAAATAATCTATGATATCTATTTTTAGTATGTTTCATCCTCATTTTATTTTATAATGTAATCTTAAGCTTTCAACATGATATTTACAATTAGCTCTTGCTTTTACACCCTTTTGATTTGGTTTGAGTATTTTGTTGGGGAGTTTGGAAAAGTCGGGAGCACCAACGAGATCAATGCTCCAGGACGGCAAGAGAGGGAGACGCCACATCTCAATCCGTTGTTCTATGGAAGTGCTTAGGAACAAGCAAAAGTAAGATCTGTGAAAATGCAACGAGTTGAATCTGAATTGAAATTAGGAGCGTGCAAAAAATCAAGGGAAGAAGTTGGACTTAGGAATGAACGAGATTAATTGAAAATAATCTCTGATATTTATTTTTAGTATGTTTCTCATCCTCATTTTATTTTATAATGTACTCTTAAGCTTTCAACATGATATTTGCAATTAGCTTAGAGTATTTTGTTGGGGGGTTTAGGGAAGTCTGGAGCATCAACTGGACCAATGCTCCAAGACGACAAGAGAATGAGACGCCACATCTCAACACAAAATCTTAAGGTGTTTGGTAAATGAGTCTTCTCTCTTATAAATCTAACATTTCACTCATTCATAGGCAATATGAGACTTTAATCACTCACACTTACACACAACATTCTCCCACACAAGTGTGAGTCCCCAACATCCGCTTTTCCAATAAGTCGAACCACGACTCTGATACCACAAATGGGGAGTCCGGTGAAGTCGGAAGCATCAACGGGATCAATGCTCTAGGACCACAAGAGAGAGAGAGACGCCACATCTCAACCAAAATCTTAACGTGTTAGGTAAATGTGTTCTCTCTATTATGAACCCAACATTCTACCCATTCATAAATAATATAAAACTTTAATCAATCACACTTGCACCCAACATATTTTTATTGATAATAAGAGAGTATTCTTACCGGTAATAAGAGAGAACTTTGAGGATTCATGACTTATGTTTGATAAAAACTATCTTGAATAATGTTGAGAATCTCTATATTTATTAATAATTTTTCTTTGTTGCAGTTTATATTCTCAGAGCATATGATTTGTGACTTGGAAAGGGCAGAATCCATGTATAAACCAAATTTATTGATGGTATGAAGTATAATTTTATTTATCATGATTTCTTTTGTAGAATATCTTATTTATATTACTGAGTATATACTCTTATTTCGGGAAGCAATTTTCTGAATTACAGGCTACATTTTCCTTAACTGCAGTAAAGGATCTATTATTGATGAAACTACATTTTTATTAATTGTAGTAGATGACTTTATTGATAAAGATAACATTTTGTATTTTGATGATAAATTATTTCAACTTTAAAAAAATAAATTGGATTAAAACAGGATAGATATATTAATCACATAGTTTTCAATTTCAATAAAAAAAATATCGATGACACTCTTCCATTCCAATAAAAACAATATTATTGATAGTTTTGATTTCAATAATAAAATAGGATAAAACTTTCCAATTTTAAAAATAAATAACTTATTAATTGTGACAATTTTAAAAAATAAAAAGAATACGAACCTTTTTTTTATATGAATTATAATTTGTCAATTTAGATTCAATCCATCTTAAATAAAAAATAATCAAATGACCAAATATCCTTTTTAAAAGAGGAGAATGTAGTTGATAAATGGTTAATTGAGTTAAAGAATTGCTGCCATAAAGTGATCAAATGTCTTTTTTAAAAGAGGAGAATGAAGTTGATCAATGGTTAATGTAAGTAAAGAATTGCAGCTATAATGTGACTAAATATCATTTTTAAAAGAGGAGAATGAAATTGATCAATGGTTAATGGAAGTAAAGAATTGTTGTCATAAAATGACCAAATGTCATTTTTAAAAGAGGAGAATAAAGTTGATTGATGGTTAAAAGAGGAGAATGAAGTTTATCAACGGTTAATGAAGAATAAAAAAATCTACCATGAAGTGACTAAATGTCCTTTTTAAAAGAGGAGAAAAGACGGTGCAATTGTGCAGGAGCAATGTCTTCAGGAGAATTTGCAAAAGAGATTGAGAGGAGATTTCTATCCCCAACCATGGAATGAACCACAGAACACCAAAACAGAGACAAGGAAGGGAATGTTAATGCAATGCATGAAAGATTTCTGTCTGTTCAAGTTGGTGCAAAAATCACCTAAATATGAGTTGTTGAGTTGGATGAAAATAACAACTCATGGTGTTTGTATGAGTTGTTCAGAGACAAAAAAAGAAACAAGAATGATGCTTGATACTTATGAATACGACAGATACTATTAACGAATGATTCTATGAATGATTCTATATAAAGAATGAGAAAGATAAAAATGCATCTGCATGTTACACTTTGTGATGATTGCAGAGGAGATTGGAACAGGCTTACAAGTGAGAGTGATAGGATAAATTTAAATGTGCGACGCAGTGCTAAATGTAGGCTTGATGTGCAGTGGAATTATTAGAGGGCTAGGTTTGGGGAAGTGTTATATAACAGAACTATGGGTAATTTTTATTTTGTATAAAAGGAAAGTTGATTATGACATGAAAAAAGACAAATACTAGATTATTCAGCTGCAATAAGAACACAAAATAGTTTGCAATTAAATAAGATAGACAAAAATGTAATGTCTGCAAAATATGTGATAACCTCAATTTGCAAAACAATGAAGACCCGAAAATAACCCACTCAGGTAACAAACTTGCAAAACAAAAAGCTAATACTAAAATATAAATGATGGCCATCACTGTGAAACACCCAACCACTTGGAGAAGTTGTCGAATTCTGTATAATCAGAATCTGAGACCATGGTGTTGTACCATGCTTTTCCTGCTGCCTTAATGGCAGAAGCTTCCTCCTGAAGGGACCACGGAAAATAAGGTCAGTTTTAAACAATGAGCAATATTGGGAGTTTGAGGACATATGCTTAATTATAAAGCATAGATTTCAAAGCACAGTATAACAAAGATAAGATTGAAGAATATTGGGATTTAGACAAAGGCTTAATTATAAAAATATAGAATTCAAAGCAGAGAGTGCAGCAAAGTCAACAATGAAGGATATTGAAAGTTTGGGACAAATGCTTAATTATAAAACATAGATTTCAAAGACAGTACAGCAAAGGCAACAAACAAAGATTTAAAAGAGCTTAAACAAAAGTGAAGAAGGACTTGCAATCATGGAAGCACAATTCAAATCCAGTTATAGTTGTCATATACTTAACTAATATAAATAGAGTTATGACAAAAAATACAAAATGACACAGTTATAAAGCCTTGTTGATATCATTAGAGTCCGGTGTTATCAAAAACAAGTTACAGGATAAAAAAAGTATATCAGATTACACAATGATGGCAGTGTGAACTACAAATGCTATACAGCAATACTTGGTACTGAATTGCACTATAATAGAAATTAAAAACAAAAGTCAATCCCAACATACCATTAGACTATAATAGGACAGACCAAATCATAGGACAAATCAAATCAAAATGCAATTAGCACCTACTTAAAATCTCAACACAATACAAAAAACAGCAAGCATAAACAATTGAAACACCCTAGACCCAAAAAATGGAACTACAAAATTTATAGATCAATAATAATAGCATAGTATAATAACATACACAAACAAACAAAAGATTTGTCTAGAAGACTAAACAGCAATATTATAAAAGAACTATAAACATGAAACACATTATATATAAACAAAATATATTAAAATCAATGTAAAAGTATCACCTTAGACACGGTCTTCCTTTTCTTATCAAGCTTCTCCTTCTTAGATTTAAGACGCTCAGCTTCGGCAAGTAAAGCCATCCTCTTAGCAGTCTTAGCATAAGGATTAAGTCTAAGCATAACATTAAGATTCTTAAGAGGATTCTTCTTAAGAGTGGCCCTCTTAAGATCCTTCTTAATAGGTCTCACAACAGATTGAACTTCATCAGAGTTAATAATCCTAGTCAAATCAGAATTAGTCATCTTTGCCCTAGGTAAAACATACCCCTTTTTCTTGTCAGAAGCCTTATCAAAAGACCCATAAATCGAATCAAGTTTCTCAAATGCAGACTTAGTCCAAACAACAAATCTACCTAAATGTCCACCAGGTGCAAGTTTCAAAAGATTAAGTCTCTCAACATTGGCAATTTCAACACCAGGAATGTTCCTAAAAGCTTTAACAGCTTTGGCTCCTTCGTTACTGTAAACAATCAAAGGTCCTTTCCGAGAGATATATCGACGGTTACGCATTTTACCTTTTCCGGGACGAATTCCGTGACTATCCTTAGCTTTCTCGGCGTCGGGAAAAGCTCCGATCTTTTTCAAAACCTTGATAGCTTCCTTTGTTTTCTCCACTCCTTCAGCGGAATCACCAACAACGAGAGGGAATTCAGGAACGGCTTCGATCCTGTGACCACGAGCGAGAACAAGGGAAGGAACAGCAGATGCAGCTATGGCTGAGACCACTGCGTAACGCTTCTGGTTGACATTGATCTTGCGGTGCCATCTGCGCCAGATCCTGGTCGGAGCAAACATACGACCACCGCGACACATGTTTCCGAAGGCAGCTTGACCTGCACGGTGGGTTCCTCCACCGGCGACACGAGGGATACGGGAGACGGCACGACCAGTTCCCCATGATTCGGCGGAGGTTTGGTGACCGGCTTTGCGGCTGACGGCGTAGGGTTGGCGGCTATTGTGGGACATGTTTGAGTGGACGAAATTGACGATGTCAGGGCGAATTGAGGCGCGCATTACGTCGGGGATGGGTAGGGATGTTGGGGAATCGGTGGCCATGTCGGAGTCCAGTGCCTGGACGGTGACGAGGGGTCTAGCGGCTGCCATTTCTGAGGAAGGAAATGGACAGAGCTGAAATTAGGGTTTTCTATACTGGCTGAGTGGTTTTGGAAGTGAAATGGCTTATATATGTTAGGGTTTTGTGGAAATTGGGCTTGGGCTTGTTCCTAACGTTCTATCAATCATGTGAATGCAATTTCTTTTCTAGCCTATCGTTGTGAATCACATCTTTGAAAATGTATTTTCGAATACACTGTAAATATTTTTATCAAAATTTGGTTTGGAAATACATCTGCAAATATTTTTATTATATATTCGTAGATGTATCTCCAAATTCCAAAATAACAATTTTCACATATGCATGTTTGAAATTTTTCTTACATAGGACAAAAATATTGTCCAAGTTTGTATTTTTTTTTTAAATTCAAAGTCATTTTAACAATGTCATAATTTATAATTTGATTCAACCATTAAAATCTCAAAATAGGGCAATGCATTAATACTTAAAAAACATGACATAATATTACAAACATAGTTCTTAAAGTATATAAAATATTGATAAAACATTTGAAAATACATTTAAAAAAAAAACATAGCATGGTGCGTATGTCTAATCCTAACCCCCTGAATCCTCCTCTGTCGCCGGTAATCCAATGCATTTTATGCCTTAGTAAGAAGGGAATGTGTTAGGACAACTGCATCAACGTCACCTCTCTCAAACAGCGTAGTCTATGTCATCTCTCGTAAACTGCATAATATTCTGACATACCAACAACACATTAACGACATGGTCATCTCTGACCTACTCATTCTCCAGGATCTTCTCATAAACAGACATATGTGGACGTCCAAGAGCATGTGGTGTCATGACAGAGTGTGACACATAATAGAACCAAGTCATGTAACCCTTAGCATAAAGTCACTGACTAGTGGCTCACATACTGTGATACTCCTCTGGTACCAGATAACTCTCGCAATCCGTCAGTAATGTCATCGAGATGTTTGCGGACAATCTTGATAGGAGCACCCACTAAGGGAATCTCAAAATGATTTGCACAAATACAAACTAACACATGCATCGCTCTGACAAATACGTGTACATCAAATTACTTCCACATGTCATCCATCTGGAGTAATATGAAATAAGGTCGAAGGAAATAGTGTCTCGATGAGTGGCATATGGTGTCTAGTCGATGTCATCATGCTGAGTTCTGTCAATATACACACAGAATGGTCGCATAATATCATTTCCTCTACACTGGCAATACATGCAAGTATATGGGTAATCCTCAGTAATACCCTAGCATATGATCAAACTCATGTATACAGTGAAAGTGGGATATGATCCATCCTTGAAAATGAATAAGAAAAAAAAATATTAGTAACAAGTGTAAAAAAAATTTTTTTTCAAATTAATAGGGATTATGGAAATTACCGTCAGTAAGGTGCACAAGTCTGTCATTTGCTTTGTCGTCCAAAGAGAGCCTTCACTCATCTTAGAGTACAGGTATACCAAGCATACGACTTCATAGTTCCACTCGTGAATGGCCTCCAAGTCGATAAAATACTTAAGGTATGTCACATCTACGTAGGTTGCACTTATGTCCACAAACATGGACGTGTCAACCAAGAATAAGAAGAAACACCTCAAAACACACTCCCGATGGTATGTAACTCGTAGATCATCGATATCCGCTTCCTCAACCAACTCTAAGTTTTATGCATATAGGTTTTGCAAGTATGAAAATTTAGCATGAGCACCTCTGGTTCTCATACTGCATTTGTGCCTTTATTAGGTCAGCTCCCAAATAAATCATCATCATCTCTTGGACCTCATCGCCTTGGTCAAGTAACTTTCCCTTGATGGAAAGGTGTAAAAGGCAAGTGACGTCATAAAGTGTAATCCTCGTCTCGCCAATGGAAAAATGGAAAGATGACATTTATGTATGCCATCTCTCAGCAAGCGCCTCATGCATGCCATGGATGATGGTTTTGTACCTGTCAAACCCAAATTTGCCCATCTTTCATATTCTTTTAGGCGTCATTTTATTTTGAATGAGTGCAATGGTCTAGTGAATAGTAAATTGGAGTAAGGAATGCAATTGTGAAAGGACCTAAGTTTGAATCTCACCTTTCTCATTTCTTTTGTTTTTATCTCTTTTTCTATTTTTTTTAGCCTTTCTTATTTTTTCACGTTCTTATTCTCAATTTAGTCTCCATGATTAGTTTATATTTTTATTTCTTAACTAGTGAGATACTTGTGCATTCGCACGACTACTGGCGTAGTACGCACGCTTTTTATTTTTAAAATGTAATAAAAGTATAAATAAAAAAATTATTTTACCAAAAGACTTTATTATTTTTAAAATAAATACATATTTTTAAAATAAAAACAAAATTGTTTTACATAACTAATATATATTTCAATTTTTCATATATTATCTTAAAAATATTGTATCTTAAATTAAAAATAATTTCAAAATAAAAATATTAGTAACATAAATAATTAAAAAATAATTCATTTTTCTCGTGTTTGGATTCATATATTATTTTAAATATTTTAATTTTTTTAATTGTATAAAAAATATAATAACTCATGTGTTCGCACGAATTTTGATATAGTTACTTGTGCGTTCATAAGGTATTGGTGTGTTACTCGTGCGTTCGCACATTTGGTACACGCATATGGGTACTAGTGTGTTACGCGCATTTATTTTCAAAGATATAATAAAAATGAAATGAAAAAAAAATTGTCTAACCAAAATAGTTTATTATTTTAAAAAGATGTAATAAATTGGTTTCGATAATTTCTTCCGTATATAAAAATATTTGAATCAACAGTATAATTATTCTTATATATAAATATCATTATTTTAGAATTATTGATAAAAATATATTTAATTCAATAGTAAATTTGTTTCCGTTATTATTCAATATTTAAATCAATAGCTTAATATTAGTATCATATGTGTGTACCATATTAGTGTTAGAACATTCAATTGGGTCAATGGAGGTTTTGTGCTTTTGGAGAAGATAAAGTGAAAAAATAAGAGAATTAGAGTGAGAGAGAGTAATTGAGGATGGGAAGAGAAATTATCATTAATTTTCACATTATACCACAAAGGATATTTATACAAGCAAGCTACAATAACTAAGATTTCTGGGATTCAAAAACATAAAATAAATAAGGTGAAAACTCTAAAACTTGGGTTGGTAACCGGTTACGACAAATAATGTAACAGGTTACCACAACCAAAAACATAGAAAATACACTATGATGTAACCGGTTACGTTATTTGTTGTAACCAGTTACCGCCCCCTAGAAAACATCTTATTTAGCCTCCATAAGTGTTTTTATTAGAAGTTGAACCCTCCAATCAACTTTCAGTGAGCTTATTAAATGCATTTGAATTATTATTTACTTCCAATACACGACCTTAATTCAAATGCTTCAAGTTCTCCATGCTCATGTTCATCTTCAATCTCTTAAACACATTATTGTGACTCCTTTTGTCAACAAATCAACAACTTGGTCTTTACTTTTACAATATCCCAACCTTAGCTTGCCTTTACTCACCAGGTCTTTCAAGTAGTGAAACCTCATTTCAATACGCTTGCTCCTACCATGTGCAATTGGGTTCTTAGCAAGATTAATAGCCGAAACATTATCAATCAAGAGTGTGACAACCTCACCCTCATTGTTGCCCATCTCCTGCAATACATTCATCAGTCACACGACTTGGTACACACATAACAATGCGACAGTATACTCGGCCTCATAAGACGAGAGTGAAACAACTGGTTTCTTTTTAGAATGCTAATAGATGGTTGCTCCTCTAAACATAAAAATGCAACCATCTGTAGAATTTCGATCATTTTTATCTCTGCACCAATTGGAATCAGTGAAATTGAGCAAATTGCATTTTCTACCTATATCTGATGCGGGAAAGATAATTCCACAACCAATAGACCCTTTGATGTATCATAAGATTCTTTTGACTGCTTCCAAGTGACACACCTTCGGTCTCTCTAATAATCTACTTGCAATATCAATATTAAACACTAAATTTGGTCGTTATTGTACAAGCAATGTAATGACCAATCAATCCCCTATATTGAGTAGGATCCACATCCTACTCATCCTCACTTTTGGACAGCTGCAACCTTGCTTTAACTGGTGTTATAGCAGCATTGCAGGGCTCCATATCACACCTTTTCAAGATTTCAAGAGCATATCTCTTTTTATGCATGAGCAGTCCCATTTTTGACTTATGGAACCAAATGCCAAGGAAGTATGTCATAATACCAAGGTCAATCATCTCGAATTCTTTTATAAGCTCACTGTTGAACTTAGAAATACTCTTCTTATTTCTGCATGTGATCAATAAATCATCCACATATAGACAAAGTATGATCACACCTTCAATTGCATCCAACTTCACATAAACTCCATGCTCGGACACACATTTCTTGAAGCCAACATCAATTAGGAAACCATTTATTCATTTGTTCTAAGCTCTCAAAGATTGATTTAAACCATATAACACTTTTATCAACTTGTAGAACATATCCTCTTGATTCTTCACAACAAAACCAGGGGGTGTTCTACATATACCTCTTCTTTAAGCGGATCGTTCAAAAATGTGAATTTTACATCTATTTGATATATCGACCAATTATTATCATTCGCAATACCAACAACCATCTGTATGGTTTTAAGTCTGGAAACTGGTGCAAACACCTCATCAAAGTCTATACATTCTCTTTGCGAAAATCCCTTTGCAACTAATCGAGCCTTATGCTTGATTAACTCATCTTTGGGATTTGCCTTCACTTTATAGACTCATCTCACACCAATTGGCTTCTTACTTTTTGGTAAATTGACCAACTCCCAAGTATTGTTTTTCTCAATCGATTCCAACTCCTTTTTCATTACAGACACCCATTTTGGATCACATAATGCCTCTTCCGTGTTAACGGGCTCAAATTCAACCATAACCGCAAAGTGGATGAAATGACCATCATAAGTGATCTCATTATTCCATAAT